AATTGAATTCGGGTGAGTAGAACTCTCAAAATTGTATTCGAGTGAGTAGTCGACTAACCATAAAGGGTATTTTTTTAGCGTCATGGGTTACAAGTGTGTTGTGAAATGGTAATTTGGAATTCTTAATTTAGAACGCCGATTCAAGAATGCCTCTCCGGTGGGGTTTTGACCCACTCTATTGCCGCCTCCACAGCAGGATGAGAGTCGATGTGGCGGGCCAGACATGAACTAATATCATTAATAAACCCCTAAATTATATAATTATGAACTTTTCGACTTTTATAACTAAGGAGCAACCCCCAGGCAACTAACTTTTTTTCACCATTCTTGAGGCTGAAGTTAAGCTTTTTCACTCCCCACATCCATTTGTCAATTCATAGAACGTAATAGAATAGATTAATAATGGTGGGGAAGGGTTTTGTTATATATTATATGGTGGAAACAATCCTAAATTTGATTATTTGAATCATGATTTTGATCTAGGGTTCTTAGAATTTGTAGTAATCTAGATAATTAGTGATTATTTATTGATTCCTGCATTATACTGATTGTATGTAGACCAAGAACAAGCTGAACGAATCCAGAAAGTGGATGATCAAGTTTCTTAGGGTTTCAAGCTTGTTTCGAGGTAGGTGATGGTTGTTATTTCATGATTTTGCATGTATGCTTGTCCGTGCTTCATTATAATACTTAACTTACTCTTTGTCTTCTCTCAAGCCTCTCTGAAGTCTCATCACTTTCTCAAGATTTTGCTAAGAACAACTCATCGAGTAAGGACTGACTCTGCTATTTAACCATATCTAGTACGATTGGTAGACGAATGAATCTGAGAAACGCACAAGTATGAATAAATCTCTATGACATAGATCTATTGCACGATTAAGAGTATGAAAGAAAGGAAAATTTTCTTAGATGTTTGTAGTGCCTCATTTATAGAAGTGAGCCCTCACAATCATAAACATTATCCTACTTGACAAGGCTTCATAGACACTTTTGGACACTTAAACCTTGTGCTCTGATAAAAAGTTTGTCACGGATGAGTATACATCCTGACGTGGCCGACACACATGAACCATTGTTGGTCCCCAAGCAAACTGTCATCCTGGTTGACTACAAGTGAAAGACTAACTTAATAATAATATGCTCTACTCGAAGATTACATACTCAACTTCAAAGATATTATACTCGAGTTGAATTACTCAACTCAATATAAAGAAACAATACACATTTAATTATGGAAAGCTTTATAAAATAGTAAAACCAACTTAGTTCGTTAAAGAAAATGCAATAACAAACTTAATGGTACTTATATAATAAAGTAATGTAGTTTTTGTGGGAGTTTCTCTAATCAACATCCATTTACTTAAGAACTATAGTGATGATACAATATTTACCTCATGCTGCTAAGGATCATCATATACATTGCCATCAGTATAGGACCTTAACTTAACTTAGTGGATCCACTATCTTAACTTGAGTGATCATCTTAATAATATAATTATTTAATACCCATGATGACTACATGGTTTTTGAAGAGTTGAGTTAATATGAACTCGCATTCCCGTATCGGTGCTCAATACTCCCAAAAATATACTTAACTCATATGTCTTAAAAAAAACTTCTTCCTTGGTTTGAGATAATTACTCAAAACATAGCTTAAAAGTTCTCTTGGATTTGATGTTCCCTTTCTTGCTCAAAACTCTTTTGGATATCTCAGTTTCCTTTCATCTTAGATGTGAAAATATTTCCTCTTGGAAATACTTAGTTCTCATATATCATTTTAAAGAAAATGAACTTTACTTCTTACTCTTTACTCAACTTCAAAGCTTAAGTCTTAAAACAAAGTTAAAACATTTGTAAAAGACTTCTTGAAATATGGTTCATGCCAAATTATGGACTTGAACGACTCAATGCAAGGTTTTCAATAACCATAAATAAAACGCAATACTTGGAACTTGAGAACTTTAGTGATACTACATCTAAAGACTATTCGACGCAGATGGTTCATGCTGAATTATGATGAACTACTCAACTCAAGGAGTCAAAGACACTTCTCATCGCAAGACTAATCGGTTTATAGTGTTCATGCGGAATTATAGGCATGAACAATTTAACTCAAAGACTTCATGGTAACATGCAATAGTCCTATGATTAGAATTATAATATCAAAATTCTATACTCAAGACATAGAACTTTAAAGATGCTCAACTTATGAAGTTCATGGGGAATTATGGGCATGAAACAAATCGACTCGACAATGTACATAACAATATGAAACTCATATATACGAATCTTCTCATTCTCTGACTTACTTCCTCAAAACTTGGTTCAAATAAGTAGTTGATCTCAAAGGATTCACAATTGAACTCAAAGGTTTTCTTGAACTCTACTCTTAATTCTCTCTTGAATGTGAATTATGAATTCAAGAGTTATGTTCATGACATGAAAGATCTCATGATAACAAGGTAGACGCACGAATAGATTTTTCTCACTCTCATACTCACTTTATTGAGTCTTGAAACAAATTATTAGATCTTGTAAATGACACCTCAATAGGCTAAAATGGGATTTTCTGAAAAATATTCGAAAGAACTATCAAGACTTTAGATTTTAACTCTACCTTGAATTTGAATTATGGATTCAAAGTTGTGGTTTGTGATATGATGGATCTCACGATGTTTAGGACTGTTCTTAGATAGTTAAACATGAGAAATGACCAAGAAATCACTGTTTGGAAGCAAGTCCTCTATGCGGAGATGTTTTAAATAATTACTACCAAATTAAATTTTGAGAAAGAGGAGTCTGTGTCCTAACCGCGATGTACAGAAAACTTTGTACATATGGGGAGCAAGTCCACGACGCGGACTTGTGTGCCTGATCATGCTGGACCTTTTCTCTTTTTTGTTTTCTAATCACAATTCGCCTAAATTCAATGCTTTTGCTTAATCTCTCTTAAGATTCAGATACCCAACACATGCACACTCGAATCTAACTCTAAAAACTCAATATATTGACACAATAATCTCAAGAGCTCCTCAACTTCTGCCCAATTTAAGAATGAAAGCAATTTTATGAATACATAACAAGAACATTAAAGCTTGTACATTCTAGAACAAAATTTAATGTTGGAAATTAACATGATTGGTGTGTACTTGAAAGAATCATCTTCTTGAAGAACTTGAAGAAAAATCTGGGAAGATGAACTTAGCCTTTGCGTTTTCTTGATTTTCTTGAGTGTAGAATCTTTGGAGTGCATGAGAGGGTTTGATTTGTGAAAACTGATTTTCTACACGTTTAGGTAATTTAGATGACCTTCCAATGGTTTTTTAGGACTAAAATACTCTGGGAGTCAGAATTATTTTCCATCAGGCAGTGAGGTCTTTACTTGCTCCGCGTCGCGGAACCATCTTGAAGTTTCTACCAGGTTTGCACGTTATTAGTAAATCAGTCAAAACGTTTGACTCAAAGCTCAGAATTGAGAAACTCAGTGGCATTGGAAAGAGGACTTGAATGAATTTAATTTAATATCTTATGGTTTTCCTAACTCATCCTGTAATTAAATTTGTGGTCATTGAAGTTACCCAAAACTTAAGAAAACTTAGGAGTGACTTAAATACTTTTCTCTTTGGTTCTTCATGGAACTTAAGGTTCTACATCTAGTGACCTTAATAATCAAGAAATTTTAAATTGCTTGCAAAAATCTTACTCACTACGAAGAATGGTTCGAGTCTTAGCTCGAAAATTTAATGGGGCGTTACCATTACATAGGTCAACGTAAACTAGTCAATTTAATACTTTGAGTAGATTCTTACTAGAATATGCAAAGAAAACTGTAGATTTTATTTTATTTTATTTTTGTTCTTCTTAAAATAATATAAACATGATTTTATTAAATATACAAAGTTAAAAAGTAGCTTAACTTGTTAGAACTAAATTTCATCTAATATTATTACCTATATAGTGTAGAATATTAAGTTTCGCACTTTGATGAAGAACAAGATAAAAATGAGATTCTAAAGCATGCTAGAATAATTGCATGTTATGTAAATTTAACTCTAAATTTAATGGTATAAAACTATTAATTTATTTCATATCATAATGCAAAGAATAAACATATATAAATTTGAGCAACTTCATAACATTGGAATCACATCTTGCATAATTATGAAATCAAATAATGTAATGAATATCAAGGGTTACCTTTTGTGAAATTAATTCACAAAGAAAATACCACAACAGAAACCACGAACAAAGAGCTCAAACTCAACTTTTTTTGTTTGATTTTGTTGTTGTGCGATTATTTTTTTGTTTGTGTTGCTTGAAGGAAAGAGTTTTTTTTTTTGGCGTATTTGGTGTTGTGAGTATTGGAATAATATAAATATATATATGTTGTTGAATTGAAAATGGTGGAATTGATATTTTGTTCTTTCTTTGGAAGGTTTTTTTTTCTCGTGTGCAGTGTGTTGCTTTTTTTGGTTTTTTGTTTTCTGTCCGTTGGGTCAGAAAGGATCTATGTTGTATTATGTGTGTGTATGGGAGGAAATGTTGGTGTAGGGTGTGTATAGTGTGTAGTAGTGGTGAGGAAGAGTGGTGTATATTGTGGGACTAGTTGGCTAATGTTCGTGCTAAGCACGGGCCCAACATAATTTTTAATAAGCAAATTTTTCTTGTTTTTATTTATAAGTTGTTACGGAATATTGTAATTTTTTAGTTCAATGTAACTTTCAGCTCTCGTGTCATAACCATTTAAGTAATAAGGTAGAACTTGACTTTGAATTTGTTTGAATTAGTAAAGCAAGTTTTTGAATTAGGCTGGCATATCTATTGAACTATCTTTGAGTGGAATCTACTTTGATACCTTTGGCCACTCAACAATATATAGTTGTGTATGATTTACTTTCATTGACTTAAATTTGCTTTGATATCTTTGTACACTCAATAATATTCTTGATCTACATAATAACGCCTTTTAATTTGCTTTCAGTTCATTGAACACAAAATAAGAAGAGAAAATAAAATAAAGTCAATTTATCTACTGCAGTGGTTGATACAATATTTTGAAATAGAAACACATACATAGGCATAATAAAAAGACAAACTAAAAAAAAAAACTTCATTGAACCTCCAATGATATGATTACAAGGTAGATGAAAAGTGTCAAAGAAGAGGAAGTGTTTTATATGAGAATAAAAATGTGTACACTTCAAAATCACCTTCACATCTTAAGAAGGCCAAAAACTTCAACATATTGCTTCACCTAATTTTTTCAGGACATCTTGGTCATTCTTATACCTGAAAAGGGAAATAAGAAATTATGTACCCTAGTGCTTATATATTTAAACAGTGTAAAAGCTTAGAAGTATCTACTATCACAGCTTGATAAATCAAGCAACTCTAAAGTCAATTTGAATAGACATTTCCAGTGAAACAAACTTTGGGTCCATTTTATTAGAAACTTGGTTCATTTTGAATGGACTACTCGTCAAGATGATAAAAAATTCAATAGCTTTATCGATAGACAACATAGCTTTATCGATAGAACAACATTACACTGAAATTTAGATATTACCAAAATCAGTCATCGAACATTATCAGTACACAAAATATCATACTATAGATCTTTTTTCAAGGAAAATCTGTTATAGGGACTCAAAATTTAATGAGTGAGAAAAAGAAAATAGAGTGTACCTGAAAGGCTTTAAAATAGCACATAAATTTAATCTTGAATAATATTTATATCTTCTGTAAAAGATAACACGAAACTCAAGTGAAGCTACACAATCGAAGCCTCATTGAAAAAAGCTAAAAATTCTAATTTGCTTATTCCTTTTCCATTACAAAAGCTGATCAAGCATAGATTTATGTACATTATCTCAACATAATATATTTCACATAAAAAGAAATAATTCAACCATGGAAGCAATATATTGATGATACTACGATCTTATCTCCAAGACAATCTTTGTATGTAAAGAAAGTACCACAACCAAACAGAATTATATTTTGGTTTCATAGATTAAAACTCAAACTTACAATAAGGTGTCGGCCACAAATACCCTTGAAATAAAAAAAATCACATACTATATCGAGCACTCAAATAAATGTGTTTCCAGTATTGTTAAGAGTTTTAAGACAATCTAATTCTACTTTACCTTAATCAATCTTCAATTGAGAATAGTTGGCTAGAAAAAGTAAAATTCATGACATATAAAACATGCCTCAGAGCTACATAAACTATTAAGAGTGAGAACTCATCCAAAATAAGTAACTATGAATCTTTCTTGTAAAGGAGAAAAGAAGTTAATCATATTTTTTAGAATAACCAACACATACTATAATTATTTTTTTTGCTTTCTCATCCAGTGTCCGATATTTACATTCACATTGGGAGGAAGTCCCACATTGGGAGGTAAAGGTCTCCCTAACAAAGACAAGAAAACTTGAACCTGAGATCTCTAGATTAAGGATGAAGGAGTACTTAGTCCTCCATCACAACCCTTGTTGGTAACACGTACTTTTTTATTATTATTAATATCCAATAAGTATCTAAAAAAATATTTCCATTGTTAATAGTCACCAGGCTCAAGTAAAAATTTACAACTGATATCAGATTTGCTTGTCCATTTATGAAGTGTTTCAAAATATAGCAGAAAAATTCATTTGTGGAGTATCAAAAAAGAGTCATTTCAGTTGTATTCTCAATATGAAAGTATGGTTGAGTTATAAGTTTATTCACCCTTTTCATCTTTATTATAGTATTTATTGAAGCAAATGTACATCAGATTTGTATCGCAAGTGGAGAAAGATAAAAGTTAAATCAAATAATATTCTAAAGAAAAATCATTGAAAAGACATCAGATAAATCAATTAAATATGAACTTTTTCAGTAGTTTCTTTGTACATTATTCCATTATTTTTGTGGATCCAATTAAAGTTTGTTGACAATGAAAGTACTTATTTGACATTTAAAAGATAGATGAATGAAAAATAACAACACATGAGAGAATGATAACTTATTTAAAAAAACGACCTGATATTACCATTCAAATTCACTTCACGATCTATGCAATCATCAATTGATCGAACATTAATATATTGCTTGAGATATGTTGAAGCAATTGACAAAATAAATAAATAAATATTTAACAATAAAATGTAAATCAAAACACCTTCTATAAACACAAATAACAAATGGAGAGAATTTCAACATTATTAGACTAACTTGGTGAAGTGCTATTTTTCCTTCTCTTCTTATTAGTCCCAAGTTTATGTTCTATATATTTTGTCATGTAAATAGTCTAGCAACAAAAGTCCCAAATACAATCTTATTATTTATTTGCATTACGACAATTCCCAATTCAATTACTGTAAACCTTGTTTACAATTTTTTGCAATGATTAAAATTTACTTTTGAAATAACACAATGGGACTTAATTAAGTTATCAAATGTTTTCAACTATAATTCCAAACAAATGCTTACATGTTCAATAAAGAAATACACGTACAGAAATACTTAGAAATGAAGCTTACCACTAATGGAATATCCTTAATTCTAAGGCAAATACCCAAAGAACCTATTACATGTTATTTCTCAAGAAGATAGAATTTCATAAAATTACTATCGGATCGAGTTTTATCAGCTTCAGCTTCATTTTTCTGTAAGTTAAGCCATCAAAATTAGAACAATTTGTCTTAGAAAAAAGGGTGATCAAAATTATTGACATAATCCATTACTAACCTTAGAGAATTTTATTCATGTAGCATGTCTATATTCTCGTTAATACCTCTGACGCGACTATATGCAATTGATACAAAGTAGTAAATGAGTACCAAATCAGTTTTGAAAAGAGCCAAAAGGCCAGCAATGATGGAGGATCAAATATAAAACGATAACACCCATTTCAAAATTTAGAACTTCTGAAAAAGAAATTGGCGAGACAAAAAAAAAGAATTAAAGTCCAGAACAAACAGAAGAAAATAAAACAAATTATCTTTTGAGGGAGAAAGAATTGAATTTAGTTTCAAAAAGTCTGCTTATGAGTGAATGAAGAGAAAGAGAGTATAGATGTTGGATTACAGTTGTTTCAGCAGTACACGTGGCTTGCTCACAAATGAACATAGCAATACACGTGTTGACAGAAAAAGCTACGATAAAGTACACGCGTTAGATACACTCCACTTCTAAAGAATGTTAAATTAATAAAGCATGTAGTACAATAGTTATTGCATGTGTTCGTCCTTCAAAGTATCACTTCTAATAAGGAGTGATAATGGAGATAAAATGGGTAAAGGTGGGGGTAATTGGTAGAGCACGGGGAGAGAGTAGATTATTATTATTTATTTATTAATAATTAATAATAATATAATGTGATATAATATGTTAATATTATTTAACTATTTTTTTTACTAACCAAAATTAATTAGCTAATAATGAATTCTAATTGATAAATAGTAGCTTATTTGCTAAATTAAAATTATAAGAAACATATATTTTTATATACTTAATTTTCTTTAAAACAGAACTTGCATAAATAAAGCAACTCAATATTTTTTAGTTTTCAAATATTTTAAAATGAAGTTATAACAATAAGATTAAAAAAAAAAGAAAACAATAAGATAAAAATAATTTTTTTAAATCCTAAATAAATATTTAAATATTAAAAGGTGTAAAATTTTTGTTTGGTTAAAAACTAAGTGCTCACACAAATCACGAATCATGTCTTGAGAAATTCATTACATGATATTGATGCGTACATAGGTGTTATCATTGTGTTCTAACGGGCTGAATTGATATGACACGATTGATTAGAATTATTTTAATGATTTTAGCTCATTCTTTTTAGATATTCCTTATGAGAATAAACACTTGATAAGGGTGTATCTAAGGTTTCAAATGCTCCAGATCAACAACTTCACAATTTCGATAGGTCTCTTCCCAAAGATTTAAGTGACAGGTGTGTTAATTGGTGTGTTGATCTTGTTTTTTCTTAAATGTGTGATGAAGTTATTTGTTGCACTCTAAATAAGAAGGTCCTACTAATTCTTAAGAGTGAACGTTTTAAAGAAATCTTGTTCATCAATGATTTTCTTAAAAGTATTCACTTCTTAGGAACATCCAGGACCTCGATGATTAGTGTGCAACAACTATCAACACCATGATTTTCAAGAAAATAAGATAAACATACCGATTTAACTCATTATTCACTTAACTCTTTAAAATTCTCATCATTAGGATTGTGAAGTTATTGATCTAGATCTTTTGAAACGACAGACACACACTTATCAAGTATGACACCCTCCTAAGAAGAATTAAAAAAGAGCTAAAAGAATTTAAAATGGCGCATCAATCGTATCTTATGCATCAATTTCCGTAAAAGGCAATAATTCATCTATGTATACATCAATATCATATGATTAATTCCTTAAAAAAAACCACCATAGATTTGATCAAACAAGTTGGAGGATAGAGGCTATTAGCAAGGCATATTGATTCACTAGAAATATACTCGAAGATGGTTTAGGATTTAACCATTATAACAATTTTATGGAATGGAATGATAAAAATGAATCAGTGTGGATGTAATTTTCTTCCCTCGTCATCCTTTTATAGGGGTTTTGGCTAATTTTTCTATGATATTTGAATTTTCTTTTTTAAAAAAAGTTAAAAGTTTATACCTATAATTGATATGTTAAGATCTTTTTCTGATTTTCTTACTATATTGGAGTTTGACTTTTTTATGGAAGAAAAAGTAAAATATTATGATAAATGATTTCTTTGTCGGGGGATAAAGTTTGAAGATTTTTTTACATTATTTGAGTTATATTTTTTATGAAAATTTTTCTTAAATATTACTATGATTGATTCATATTCTGGGGTAAAGGTTTAAATATTTTCTTATAATATTTAAAATTTAGATTTTATTTGTTTAAAGTCAAACTATAATCATAAGTGATCTTTTCTTAGGGGGAAATATTCGAATCTCTTTTCTTTAACATATTTAGTTTTACAATTTTATATAAGGAATGTTAACGTATTATCGTAACTAGTTTTCTATTTTGGGAATAATTTATATATTTTCCTATTACATTTGATTTTTAGATTTATGGAAAGAAAGTTAAAGTATTATCATAATTGATTTCCTTTCTTACGGGGAATTTTGGGAAAAAATTTCCATATTTGAGTTTTATTCTTTTATAGAAGAAAAGTTCATGTATTAAAAAATTGACTAGTATACATACCTTACGAAGTGTGATTATTATAAAAGGTAACCAATTTTTAAATAAGAACTAACAACAATTTATTATTAATTTGTCAATATTTTAAAAATGAATTATAAGAAACATAATTATTTAGTTGAGGACGTTAAATTAATATTATTAGTACACAACTTCTTTGTTATGATATAAAAAGATTATAATATAAAAATAAAAAGATTATTTGTAAGCTATACTTTTAGTTTTACAATATACACGTTGAACTTTTATCAAGGAATTTGTTTTTGATTATTTTACCTTGGAAAAAAAGAAAATATTTCAATCATTTCAATTTATTTGTCCTATATTTATTTTAGTCTACTTTTAAAAAAAAATTATTCATTTTTACTAATTTTTTAATTTTTCACATGACATGTTTAAGACAAAAAAATTAAAGGGCATTTTATTGTATCTGACATATGTTTGATTTGAAATCCTAAGATTTAAAATTCTTTTTTATCTTAAATTCATTTTAAATTAAATTGGGAGAAATAAGTTAAAATGGAGAGAGTAATAAATTAATTACTATAAAAAAACAAAAATGAATAAACAATTTAATACATAACTAATTTACGTTTATCATTGAAATTCGTTGAATAAAAACAACGGTGCAAATCCTAGATTTTTTATATAACACTTTTAAATGAATTTGGGCAAAAAAAAAAAGTGTTTTTCTTACATCATTGCATGGCTTATCAAATACATAAAAATATGAAAGTTTTAAGAAAGTTCTCTGTAAGACATCGTATCCTAGTCAGACAAGAATGCAGATAACATAAGCTGGAGGTGCCACAAACAGGCACCACCGACAGACCGTAGGGTGACCTACGGTCCATAGGTAGGGTCTATAGATGGTCACCTGCAACTCTCCCCGGAAAAGTCCAAAAAATTGTTCACGGTCGAACCCACGGACCGTAGGTCAATCCACGGTTGTGGTCCTGGTCTATGGGTCCAGAACCTAGAACACAGCTTCTGAAAGCCAACTACGGTTAATAGGACAGACCGTGGGTCAGTCCACTAACCATCAATCAGTCCATCGATTGGGCCCGACAACTTTTAAGTTAGGGGCCGTTTGGTTTTATCCTTACGTGTTGGACCCCTAAACAATGTAGTTTTGGTTAGTTTTAGCCTAGTAACTTAATTACTACGTAATGTGCTCAACTCATTCTCCAAAAATTCATCAAGTTGGACAAAAGAAGGAGAAGGAGTCGACCAACCCTCTCCAAGAATACAACAAGGTTTTCTTTAGTTCTAGCCTCGAAATCAAAATATTTCTCCGTAAATTTCATCACCAGGTATGTGAGATTTCACTAGTGGGTTCCTTTAATCCATTAGTTCCGTAGCATTCAGTCAGATTCTTGATTCCCTCCATAATATCTAGACCTAGAGTTTCTATAATTTCAGCAGAGTATAATGAATTTGTTATTTTAGTGTTACTAATCAGATTATCATGTAGTAATATTATTTTGGCCAGATTCATACATAAACTCAGAATCCTAATTGTGTAGTTATTTTATTTCTTCAATTACAATAGCTAGGACAGATAGACAGATACACATGCCTCAATTTTGAATGCATCATTATCAGATATAAATATTGCATTTTCAAATCAGATTGTTGAGCCATCCACTTTACTTAAGTTATGCTATAAAGTTCATATATTTAGTTGGGAGTAGTCTTTATACCTAGTTGGACTAAGGTCACTCAACCTCAAGTCCTAGAACAACGTGCCCCTGTAAGTTATGAGTTCCCTCTGTGGGCATCAGTTCAGTGATCAAGCCAATCATGCGTATATACTCTAACAAGTATATTGGGTTCTCTTAATGAGGCATATACATTGGACTCCACATTTAGCTTATGTGGTTTCATGTCGATTATTAGTAGCTTCCATAGTCCGATTTTATTGTATTGACCAAGTCATCAGTTACAGTTTAATATTCAGTTTCAGCATGTTATAAACTGGTCATTGAATTCAGTTAGTTCATTTTCAGTATTTTCAGTATAGTATCATGCTTATCTTATACTATTACTTGGTTATAGGCTTTGTTCAATTATATATATTGTTCATCTTTATTCTATCATGCATGCTTAGTACCTTTCAAAAACTGACACATACTCTGTGCTACCTCTCCTCGTGATGTAGGTTCAGGTCCTCAGCATTAAGATCACGCACAGATTGACTCTTGATCCCCAGTTCAGCAGCTTCGTGGTGAGTCCTCATTCTTCGAAGACGACTGACATTTTTTCTATTCATTCTTTCCTTTTTAGGTTCACTTTTTCCTAGATTTAGCTGGGGCATGTCCTAGCATCTCTAGTCGTTTTATTTAAGACATAGTTAGATTCATCTTTAACTTTGGAGTTTGATGTTTAAATTGTCATTGAACTTACATATTCTTTATTCTAGGCTTGGGCATAAACATCGAAAAATCGAAACACCGTACCGAATCGAATTTTTTTGGCATTTCGATTTCGGTTTTTGGTTCGGTATTCGGTATATGTTTTTGTATTTTTTGATATTTTGGTTCGATTTTCGGTATGTAAGTTTGTATTATTCGTTTTTTCGGTTTACCGAAATATATTATATTATAATAATATTTATATTATATTAATTATTAATGTTAAATAATAAATATTATAATTTAAAATAAAAAAGTAAAAGACACTTTTTGATGTAACTATTTTTAGCCCATTAAGCTGAAAAATCGAACAAAAAAAATTATAAATTTTAAAAGCCCAACTAAGCAGGCCCATTAAAAAAACCGAAATAACAAAATCGAACCGAAATAATAATAATCGAATCGAAGCGAATTATTTAGGTTCGGTGTTCGGTACACATTATACAAGAACCGAAAACCGAAAACCGAAAAATCGAAAAAAAATCAAAATCGAACCGAATTACCGAATGTCTACCCCTACTTTATTCAGATAATAATGGGTATGCCCATCATTTTGGTTTTATGATAATTTAAGCTTCTGTACAGTACTTTCTTAATT